ATAGTCTCTTTTCGGTATATCCCCATTGTATAAGAGGTTCCTTACATTTTACCACACATGTATATGTATTGGCCTTTGGCCCTCAGTAAAGATTAGTTGCTCACTTATCCAACACCAACACAGGGCAGCATCCTAATCTATGCCTTCTAGGCTTGTACTTGCACTCCATTTACTACTGAGAGTTACTTACAAGATAGGCTACAGTACTGCTGAGAGTTACCGCATTTGTTGATAGCTCTGCCTTCAACCAGATGAGCTACAGTAACTTCTGATAAATGTAATAGTTGGCTGTGAAAAAGTGAAGAGCATGATTATTTGTCAGGAAGTGAAGATCTTGAAGATCGAGTTGAGTCGCTATTTTCTTGCCCTCTCCCATCCACTGTTAGAGTATAGTTTTGGAGTTGAGTTGAAGCGAGAAGAGTGTCTGTTTGGGAATGAAATGAGTTCGTGGTAATGTGACTAATGTTAGAGCTGTAGCTTTATGCTGCAAAGGATGCAACTCCCGTTCTGGTACGAAGAAAAAAAGGCCTTTAGTACTGAGATCTGAATCTTCTGCTCCATTTCATGAGGAGCTGCCCTATATCAGCATCCGTTCTTGTTCCTCGATGTGCCTCCCCACCACATTAGCACATGAGCAAGTTCCGTCAATCTCATGCACCGCTCTGAAGCCCAACCTTGTATACCTTAACAAGCTGACGGTAACAACAAAAGTGACACCAATTTGAAAATTAATGAAATACAAAAATAGTAGGAAAAACTTTGCACTCTGCCACACTAAGCAAAAGTCCATTGTGAAAAAGGGAAAAAGTATGATCCGTCAATCTCATGCACCGCTTCTTGCTTTTTCTCCACCTCTCATTACCAATGGAGCACAAAACAGGAGAAAAGAATGATTGGAAACGATCTGCAATTCGTGATTTATACTAGAAAAAAATCATCTTAATGTTTTTGCATTGCTCCCGAAACAAGCTTTCGTCCCACTTTATTTATAAAGCAACATCAGAACAAAGTACACGGTCGAACGAATCAATATGATGGGAAGACCCCCTTACAAGGCAGTTCAAAAGAGAAACATGAACCTAAAGCAAGCCTAACACTTAGCTGAGGCTCGACTGAAGACTCCTGAGCTCCATGACAATACCCCCAAGAGGATGACGGTGTGAAGCATCGCCGTTGCCGACTCCAAACAAACAGATTAGAGTTTAGCCCTGACACAAGGACAAGACCCATGACAACGTAGCAAGCGGCACCCATGGGCTCCATCGTCGCCCGCACCCACGATGCAAAGCTTTCGCTCAGAAACTCGCCTATACCACGGGATGATTCCCTATCATCATCGCAACGAGGGATGACCCAGGCACACCATATCTGGGCACTGCCAGAGCAGGCCAAAGTCTCCCACCACTACACCCCTTTCCATCCACACAACCAACATGTGAAGTCACAACTGCCATCATGGAGCCTGCCAGAAAAACCAAACATGGAGCTCACCATCCAGGACCACCGCTCGGGCATTCATGCCCCTAGGCACCGCCAACCATCCACATCAAGACCACCCAATCATGAGAGTAGAAGCGAAAGGCGTCTTCTTTCACTCCTAGTCCGACATCAATCACTCTGTCTGGGTCAGCGTCCCCCACCATAGGAAGCGCCCACACCCACGTCCCCAGCCGGTTCCCGTGGACAGGGGAGGATACAACCAAATGACCACCGACGACCGCCGCCAAACACGCTTGAGAGCCTCCAAATTTGTGGTCCTCGGCACCGATCCGCCGGATGACACAACAGTGCCTAGAGAGCGCAACACGGACCGACGCTACATGTAGCAAGCACGTGAACCATAACGTGAAAGCTTGTGACAACACGGACCAAGGCAACCCCCAATACCTATGCGCCCTGGCCATCATCCACCACCATGGACCAGCAACCCCGCGAGAACACCTACACTGTCACGATAGCGTGTGGATGCCACTCCAAACCACTCGCGGATCCCAACTCGACAAATGCAGGAGAAGGCCAAGGGTCAGGTAACATCGCCGACCAACTGCGGGAGAACGCCATCGGGAGAAACAAACACGCCCCATCAGATCTGATCATTCAGATCCAGACGGGGACGCCCAAGGTAGCCGACAACTCAGGCCGCCAGGGCAGCCGCAACAGGCCAGTCCCTACCCTCCAACAGCACCTATCTTGTCACCACCTCCAGGCCGTGTCAAAATCCACCGAACACCCTCCGGTCCCGCCTCCACATGCCCGCAGCCAAACGGAGCCACGCACGAGCCACAACACCATCACACGCGTGCCCGACACCACATGCCGCCCAGAACGATAGCCACGCCAGGCCGCCGGCGACCCAAATCCGGGGAAGCGCCCCCGCGCCCATGGAGCCCCGCAGCGAAGCCCGGGCGGCTTCCTCTAGCGGCGGTGGGGGGAGGATGGGGAGGTGTGGCGGCCCCGGCTGGCCAGTAACAAAGGATTGTGTCACAAATACTTTAAATTGTGAGGCTCATAGCTTTAGCTAAAATTTCGTCTTCTTTAGTAGAGGGTCGCCGTTTGTGGCTGGGCATACATATGACCCGTTTATCATTCCTGTAAACCAAACTCCTTAATAAACTGGGGTTTACCGCTCGAAAAGAAAATACTGTAGAGAGTAGGGTGGGTTTTCCCCTCTGTTTTTAGGGTGGCAGAGACACTGCGATTTCTGAAGAAAGAGACCGGAACAAGTGTTGAGACATTCAGAGATTTCAGACTCGAGAGTCCGCCCTTAGCCGTGGTTCCACTTCCATGGACATGGAGGTCAGGACTCAGGACGGCCGAATACAAATCTCAGTCCCCGGCTCGGACGGGCGGACGGCACGCAATGATCGATCGCCCCACGGCCGTAGGTTTAGAAAGAAGAGCCTTGTGCTTGTTTGGCAAGAAAAGAAACGAGGAGGCAGGAGATATAAAAGCCCAAAGGAGAGTACCAACCGGGGGTTCGGATCGGGCTGCGATTTTCGATCGGCGGCGAGCGAGGAGCGTCGACGGATCTGTGCAACCGGAGAGGGAGGAGACGAGCAATCGGGACATAGGAGAGAGCGATGGGGATTTCCCGGAGCAAGCCGGCGCCGCCGCCGGAGCCTAGGGTGGAGGTGCCGCCCCTCATCGAGCCCCCTCCCAACGCCGCCCGCACCAGGTGCCTGCCCCTCCCGTCCCCCCTCGGTCACTCATAGTCTCTCCCGTCAAAAACCTCACTGTTGGGCAGATCCTATGCTCTCCAATAGGACTAATGACGATGTCGACACACCACACTGACCGTGTTTTGATTGATTGATCCTATGCTCCATCCATGAGTGACAGGATTCATTACCAACACCAATCGGGTTTAGAATTTCAGATTCATGTTTGACTAGTCGTACCCATGTATCTATGCTCCGTCGATTTAAACTGGAAGGAATGCTTTAAGTCTATGGATATTAAGTTAATATAATAAAAAGTTTGATCTATAAATTAGTTCAAAAAGGGAATTAATCTAGCTATGAATTGCATATACCTATGTTCTCTATGTGTGTGCTCAAGTGACTGATAGTGGTCTTGAGCATGCAGCATGCAGGTGCCGGGGTACGAGCAGTGGTTCGGGAAGCCCTCGCTGCGCGGCCTTTTCGATGACTACTTCAATCAAGTTGGGAGCGTGAATGCAGGGGTCATGCTCAAGATGCTGCAGGATCCTCATGTCGATTTGACCGCAACTGTATCCAAGCGATTTGGCCCTTAGTTTTCCTGGATATTTTATTGCAAGAAAAGTTGATTTTCCCTAACTATATTTCACTAGGCATCACCAGCCGGCGGGGAGGCTCAACTTCGATGGCAGAGGTGGTCATTGCATAGTTTTACCAAAAGTCATATTATTTATATGCCAGTTATGATATCCTTGTTAATAACTAACACAATATGCATGATTGACTGGGATTTTGTAGTGATTTGTATAATCCAGGTACCCTTGCGCACTTTCTTGTGTCAACGGCGAAACCGTAAGTGCTTCATTATTCGATGGCCAAAATTGTCAATGATTTCAATTTGATGGACTATGTTGATAGATAGTGCTGATTTTTCTTATAATTTGTTTATCCAGCACTTTGAAGTTAAGCATTCATTTCCCTAAGAATGGTATTGGTTCCTTTGCGACAATTCCTTTGCAAGCCGGAAACAGGTAGATTGTAATTACTTAATGTATTCTTTCACATTTGGTGCATACCATGAACATTGCTGTTCATATCATTTCACTAATTTGTTACTTGACAGCGTTAAGAAACAGCTGCACTATAAATCAGAAAATATTCCTTCTGTTTATATCTAAATAATGATATGAATCATAAGTGACGAAGATAAAATTTTCTGTTTTGCAGCATGCTTTCAGAAAATAATAGCGTTATCGGTTTAAGATATGATTCCCAGAATCTATCATTGGGGGCATCTGTTGTGCCATTTGTCTGTAAGTAGATGCCGGCCCTAACTTTAATCGAATAATTTTGCTTATGTTATTTTCTAATATTTCTCTTATATCTAGTCAGATTATAGTATGCTCATATTACCTTTCTTTGCAGTACCCGGTGAGGAACCCTCTGTGGTTCCCTATGGTGCATGGTTAGTTGGAAGAATAGGGGGATTAAGCGCAGGGGCACAATACAAGCCACTTAGTGACTGGCTTAGTGAGTGTTACTGAACCTTCCTATTACCGGAACATTTATTTACTTCATACTTCCAAAAAAAGTTTGAGGCTATCACATAGTATTATCTTCTTTTTATCTGCACATTCTAGACAGAGTTCTTTATTTAACTCTGTTCTATCATCTTGAGAGACTGTGTATACATTATTTTATTCAGCATGGAGAAGAATCTCATTAGCGGAAATCCTTTCATATAAAAGTGTAACACTATAGACACTTGTATTTGGATGGGAATTAACTCATGTTTGATCCCAACCTTGATCTATATAAGTAGTGAAGTGCAAAATATAAGCAAGAGAACATCACATCATCGAGTTTTCCTAAGCCATTCGGTGTAGATCGAAACCCACAGTTGCTATAAAAACATACTCCCTCAGTGTAGATTCACTCATTTTGTTATGTAGTCACTTGTTGGAATCTCTAGAAAGACAAATATTTAGGAACGGAGGGAGTACATAATAGGACAGACTAAAGCCTAATAAAATTTCTGGATCCCAGAGGAATACTAAAAAGTTAGCAAGCGCGTAGTCTATCTAATTAATACATGTATCCATCCATTATTGTGCTTACAAGCGAAAAAATTGTGAAGTTGTAAGATTTCCATAGCAGAGTACATATTAGCTCAAGTATCCTATATATGGGAAAAACTTTGTGTTCCCAAAATTTTCATTCTAGTGAATCCAGATATTTATTTGGCATGTTTTTTTTTCTGCTACAGCTTGTGCAATAGCTGTTTGCTCTTAGAATTCATATGCTGGCTTCCTACATTTGGATATATTGATGTTTATCTCTCACAAGCCTTTTCTTTTCCTATCATGTATCAATTTCAGGGCCTTCTATTTATACTTTTGTTTGCCCCATTTCATGTATCTTTTAGGCACTCCAACAGATGGAAGCATGAATTGTTTGCCTTTTGAGGACTTGAAGAACTGGGATTATGCAATCAGTTATGGTGTGGGATCAGTTAGCCCACTAAGCCCCTCACTAAATTTTTCTCTAGAACTTGTCAGAAGTACACAGGTTCGTTATGCCTGTTCCCTCTTATTCAATAAGAAATGCTTTACACCTTTTGTTACTTTGCAAAGATCTTTCTAGAAGATTATATACACATAATGCGAATGCTTCTGGATATGTGAGTACCATCATTGTGAAGTATGCCAGAAACTTTTGCTGTATGAGCTCCTTTGTAAAATTCTTAGATTTCAGTTAGAAATAATTTTTTTGATGATCAATCACAGTTAATTAAGGCTGCCTTCTATGTATGGTTCTTTCTTGTCACTTTTGTATATGAAGCAATGATAAAATATTTTTGTCGTAGCAAGATTAGTGGTTCATAAATAATTGTTACCAAGTGAAAACTAATTTATTACCTTTATTGAATCCCTACAACATTATCATTTTTGAATCTTATACAATTTCCTTGATGAGTAGCTGGTCGCATCATTCTATCAGCACCAGGTTGTCCTAAGGCAGGTGAGGAGAATTCTGTTTTATTTTATCTTTTGACACGGTTAAGTTTTGTACTTTTATTCTATTTCATGTATGGGAAAGAGCATGCTGTTCCTTTTCATTCATAACCTATATAAGGACCTGCCTCCTATTTACTCAACCCACTATAACTAGTTTTTTAGACAAACAATTTCCATTCTATTCTCCTCATCAGTTTGCTGCAGTAGTTTGGCTTATTGGTCTTGTTAGAATATAACTTCTCCTTCTTGTATATAAATGTACTGTTGGTATGTGCCTAGAAATTCTCGTTGTTTGGCTAGTAGGATATGCAATTGCTAGGAAGTGCACTGAAAGTGCATAGTAATCTTGTAGTTCGCCATCTATGTACTTAAATAAATATTCTGAATATTTAATATGTGGATTTTTAAAGTCTATATTGTTTGTAAAAATGTTCAATACATGTGCTAAATTTGATTATAGATACTTTTTTCTAGGTATCACCTGCTACTTGCCATGTTGGTAAAGTGTGGTACAAATGTAAATAATAGACATAAATAACACAATCCGAGGATGTCACAAGCAACTTGTGAATAACAAAGATGTAATTCACAGTGTAGTTTAGTCTCATGCATTTTCTAAGTGTAATTAAGAATTTCCTTTATAATTTTAAAGATTTGATGAATATGCATGTCTGTCCATTAGGTAAAAGGAGGTCCCCGTTTTGAAGATGCAGACGAAATTGTAAACTACATTGATTTTGGTCTTGAGCTAGCCACAAGGTAGGCCTCTAATGAACTCAAAGTTTTCAGTTTTTCATCAGTTCAGTTGACTATATTTCAATTTAATATGATCTTTAGGGTGGGCAAGGACAAACCAACAGACGATGCCAACAATTCCTCGTTTCAGATAGCTGCAAATTGGCAGGCCAATAAGAACTTCCTAGTAAAGGTATGTTACACAGGGATATTCAAACAGTGCCCAGGTTCATCCACATCTTTATTAATATGATATAGTTATGTAAGCACTCTTGGTGTTACCGTGCACGGTAGCACCCACGAAATGTAGAAAAAAATTGAAAAAGTTTACAACCCCACACAATTTCAAATATAAATTTGATCTAGCAACCCTAGTGCTTGTAGAAATAGAACCTCTCTCAAATAATGGAACATGAGCATTTACTTCCATGTCTGAACCACATCAGTTCTTTCTAAATCTAAAACATGCAGGGACTAGAATTTTTTTTTGTGAAATAATTAGTTTGTACCAAACATATGTTTATATTGTAATCTATTTTGATTTACCTTTCGTGAATTTGTACAAGCCATCATGGTCAAGTTTATACTCCCTTCCTCCCATATTAATTGACGCTGAAACATATGTATCACTGAAATACGCCTAGATGCATTTGTTTCAGCATCAATTAATATGGGACGGAAGGAGTATGATGTATTGAAAATTTGGAGTGCAATACAATTCCTTGTATCCATAGTGATATATTTATGCATTACATTATTTCTGATATTCATTGTTCCATTCTTAATAGGGGAAGTTAGGGCCCTCCAAATCTTCTGTAGCTTTGGCATTCAAGTCTTGGTGGAAACCCATGTTTACATTTAGCTTCACAGGTTCGGAAACTCCTGAATTCCTTGTTTGCAATAAAACACTCCATACTTCTGATCATAGAAATGCTTTTCCACTCTCTGTAGTGCTTGTATATTACACTCCTTTGATCTTACTTTACACGACACTCCCACAAAACGCCTCCTTTATTGTTCCCTGTCAAAAAGGAAGAAGAAAGGTCTAAAAAGAAATGAATGCTCTAGTACCCATGAAAATGGTTTGTAATTTTGTGTGTGTTTCTTTTCATCATTTGTTTTCTCTGGGTATGATGCTTTGTTTAAGACTGCTTCCTAGTTCCTACATAACATTTAGCACCCAGAGCAGCATTATTTGAAATAGCCCTAAACTAAGGACCTCATCTCTTTTTTATATCATGCTAATGTGCTACACTTCATAGTGTATTTATGGGATGCTTTCTGGTGTGTACGTTTGGCAAGTGAAAATGCATATTGCCACATCATATATAGTGAAGTAGACCAAACGTTACATATTGTAATATTAGCTGGCAGTAGTAATTAATAGTCACTACATAGTACCTTTCCATGTGAGAAGATACTTTTTTAAGAGAAAAAATAATGAAGTGATACTGTTTGAAGTACTGACATCCACTGATGGCTGCCACAACAATGTTCCAAACTTGCAGCTGTGAATGATCATTCGAAGGGTACAAGAGGGTACGGATTTGGAATCCATGTCGACGATCAGAGAGACCCAGATTCCAGCCATCTCCTCTAGTAGGATCGATTATATACCATTGTTTGCATCAGAACGAACTTGAAGTAAACCCTTTTGCTCCTGAGAGGAATGTCTGGATAATCATTAGTATTGCACGTACTAATAGCACTATGTCTTGCAAATCTTAATTGGTTGCACTTACATACATGGCTGTGAGACAAATCAAGGAGGACCGAAACTCCGGCGATGGAGGGGCGATGACCGCGCACGCCTTCGGCTCTCTTCAGTGCTTGTAGTTGTCGTTAGGTGGTCTATAAATCTGGATGTAATTGTTATTATTTCTTGTGTCATGATTAAAGATGAATAGATCGAAATTTTTCTTGGAAAAAAAAGTAGGACCGAACTTTTTTTGAACACTAATAGTCTGTGGAAGCATGTGATTCAGAACAGATATTAGATTTTTTTAGGGATAGAACAAACATAATTAGCGCCAGCTTTTAGGTAGGACTACTGACAGAAAATTGTGTTTAGCTTGCAGTAGCGTGGAATTTAGTTGTCGTCCCTACATGTTTCCTAGCTTCGGCTATGTATTTTCTTAAAACAATCAAAATTCTAGATTTTTGTGGGCGAGGTAGCCTCTATGGTCTAGAAGGACTCGCCTCGGCGTGCTTCCGAAGATCCTACTCCCTCCGTTTCTAAATATTTGTCTCTTTAAAGATTTTAAATGAACTAGCACATACAAATGTATATAGACATATTTTAAAGTGTAGATTCACTCATTTTGCTCATGTAGTCACTTGTTAAAATCTTTAGAAAGATAAATATTTAAAAACAGAGGGGGTATTTGCAAAATGACAGCGAACGGTTTGGCCGTTCGCTGGGGTGAGTCCTCGCCTCCGCTATAAAAACATCTAAAAAAAAAATCTCACTTTCATCTAAAAAAAAGTAAAAAAAGAAAACCACCACAACCTACTAGCGAGTGCCACTTTGCATAACCCTTCATTTAAAAAATATCAAAGGTCCTCACCTCCATCTAAAAAGAAAAAAAATACATTTATAAAATAATTCACATCTTCATCTAAAAAAATTCCAAAATATTGCTCACCACGGCCAACCAACTTGCGCCACGTGGCATAGCTGGTTGGCCGCCCTTCATGCGTAGCTTAATGAGTTTAATAGTCGGTTCGTTTGTCATATAAAAGGATTCTACTTGTGCAAGTGTACTTGTGTGTGTGAATATACTCAACTTTCGGCGCCCTAGCACTCATAGAATATGACCCTTACCACAAGGTAAGTGTTTTGGTTCGGCGCGCCGGCCGAACGCTCGGCTGGTCGCGAGCTACACATAAGCGCCACCCGGCCAAAAGGGCCCACACTCACCCGTCCTATTCTCTCAGCCACTCGCGTCTGCCTTATCCTTTCATCCTTCGCTCGCCTCTCCTCCATGTGCCTCTGCATCTCGCGCATATTCATCCCATGCTCGCCTCTCTCCATGTGCTTGGCTCCGGCCATTGCGGCGATTTCTCCGGCGAGCCCACCATCGAAGAGGTCGAGGATTTTCTTCTTTTATCTTGTAGAGGTCGTCGGCCCTCCCCGACGCCCCCGTGTGATGGGCCACGGGTCGACGGTGGACGGAGGAGGAAGCACGTCGGGGAGCTGCAGCTGGTGGACGGGAACAACTACAATCGGCCTCGCCGAGAGCTGCAACCTGCCTCGCCGGGAGCTGCAACCGACCACGGGTGGGAGCTTAATTGTGCTACTATAGGTGTTTTAATTTGATGGAACCATCGCCCAATTTTTATTTTTTGCTACCACGGTAATATGTTTTTGCTAGAAGCATCAACATTTTTTGCTACCATCGATGCTTTGGTTTTGTTGGATCCAAGCCCAATTTTCAATTTTGCTACAACCATAATATTTTTTTGCTGGAACCATCAACATTTTTTGATGCCATCGGTTTTTTTGTTTTGTTGGAACAACACCATTTTTTGCAAGTTTGCTACCACCGGCCTCTTGGTATGCTGGAACGAGCTTCATCTTAACAATGTCCATTTTTTCAATTTTTGCTACCAGCGTTCTCTAGTTTTGCTGGAAGCAGCCTATTTTTTTTGCTACCACACCGCTGTTTTGGATGCGAACCACGGCGTCCGCCATTGATTCTGGAGGTGGGTTGAGGGAGAGGGATGAGGGGATGGGCAGCACCAGCAAGGGGCAAGCGTCGGCGACGGACGTGCGCTGCGCGACGCGGAGTGGGTGCGGAGGCGCCGTCATGTCTCCCTCCTTTTTTTACTCAGTTTTCAATTGTGATGTGAGAAAGACGATGGGAAATGATGCCCATCGACAGCTGTGCGGGTTCAATCAAATGGCTAGGACACGACCGACCCAAATTTGGGCCGGTGCGCCGGCGCCTAGCGTTGGCCTTACCACAAATAGGGCACCCCTACCACTCATAGTGTAGGACCCCTAGCACTCACAAAACATGCCCTAACACTCCAAATTAGTATCCCTACCACTCACAAGGTAGAACCCCTAGCATCTATAGTACATACTTTTCATAGTAGTTTGGGCTAACAATTGGCATCAGAGACTCGTTCAAGTGGCCATGTTAGGTGACACAAAGAAGACTCCACCTCGGGCGGTTCCAAGACACACTGCTAGAGACGCAACCTTGGACTGCGGCGGGTGGCTCCAAGTCACTGCCTCCATAGGAGGAGCGCCATCGCTTGGTGAGTCGAGGCTGCAACATCTGATACAGTGTGGCAACCGCAGTGACATCGTGGTAAGGGAGATTGTGCGCGAGATCATTGGAGGTTGTAGCGGCACGAATATCTCCTTCCTGATGCTCACTCGCTCGAACTACAATGAGTGGGCGCTGATCATGGAGTGCAAACTATAGGCAGCAAATCTATGGTTCCCCATGGAGGACGACACCGTTGCCACGAGGGAGGACATGCAAACAATGGTGGCGCTGATCATTGAGGGAGTCCTGGATTAGGGGGTATCCGAACAGCCGGACTATATACTTTGGCCGGACTGTTGGACTATGAAGATACAAGATTGAAGACTTCGCCCCGTGTCCGAATGGGACTCTCCTTTGCGTGGAAGGCAAGCTTGGCGATTCGGATGTTAGATCTCCTTCTCTGTAACCGACTCATTGTAACCCTAGCCCCCTCCGGTGTCTATATAAACCGGAGGGTTTAGTCCGTAGGACAAGAACAATCATAGTCATAGGCTAGCTTCTAGGGTTTAGCCTCTACGATCTCGTGGTAGATCAACTCTTGTAATACTCATATCATCAAGATCAATCAAGCAGGAAGTAGGGTATTACCTCCATCGAGAGGGCCCGAACCTGGGTAAACACCGTGTCCCCAGCCTCCTGTTACCATTAGCCTTAGACGCACAGTTCGGGACCCCCTACCCGAGATCCGCCGGTTTTGACACCGACATTGGTGCTTTCATTGAGAGTTCTACTGTGTCGTCACGATAAGGCTTGATGGCTCGTCTCGTTGTCAAGGATAACATCACCTCTGGGGGAGCCCTGGCTCTAGGCCAAACTCTCCGACTAGGCGGCTTCGTCATGACCGCCCGATCGGCTGTCGCGCCGACGATGACTTCTCGGGTCATCAAAAACAACCTCCACGTCAATTCGGGACTCGCCGAACAGATGGATCCAATGGAGCTCTCCTCCCTTAATGAGCTCTTGGATCGCATCGCCGCTCTGGGAGTCGATCCGGACTATGATCAGATTAGGCTTAAACATGACCAAAGGGAGATTAACTCTCCGCCGGTCACCCATGAGATAGCGGTAGTGGAAGAGCAACACATGGATTATCCCTCTATTTTGAGGACGAACTATGTCCGGATTTCTGAGCTCTCCGAGCCGGATACCCGTTCACGGGAGGACGTGACCCAAACCCCGAACTTAGAATCGGGTGGTGCTACGTCTTGAGCTAGCGTTGGTTTTCCCCGAAGAGGAGAGGGTGATGTAGCAAGTGTAGCGTAAGTATTTCCCTCAGTTTTGAGAACCAAGGTATCAATCCAGTAGGAGGCTCCTCAAAAGTCCCACGCACCTACACGAACAAACTGAGAACTCGCAACCAACGCAATAAAGGGGTTGTCAATCCCTTCACGGCCACTTGCGAAAGTGAGATCTGATAGAGATAGTATGATAAGATAAATATATTTTTGGTATTTTATAATATAGATGCAAAAAGTAAAGATGCAAATGAAAGTAGATTGAAAGCAAATATGATAAGAGATAGACCCGGGGGCCATAGGTTTCACTAGAGGCTTCTCTCGAGATAGCATAAGTATTACGGTGGGTGAACAAATTACTGTCGAGCAATTGATAGAAAAGCGCATAGTTATGAGATTATCTAGGCATGATCATGTATATAGGCATCACGTCCATAACAAGTAGACCGACTCCTGCCTGCATCTACTACTATTACTCCACACATCGACCGACTCCTGCTTGCATCTAGAGTATTAAGTTCATAAGAACAGAGTAACGCATTAAGCAAGATGACATGATGTAGAGGGATAAACCCATGCAATATGATATCAACCCCATCTTGTTATCCTCGATGGCAACAATACAATACGTGTCTTGCAACCCTTTCTGTCACTGGGTAAGAACACCGCAAGATTGAACCCAAAGCTAAGCACTTCTCCCATGGCAAGAAAGATCAATCTAGTAGGCCAAACCAAACCGATAATTTGAAGAGACTTGCAAAGATAACTCAATCACACATAAAAGAATTCAGAGAAGATTCAAATATTATTCATAGATAAACTTAATCATAAACCCACAATTCATCGGATCTCGACAAACACACCGCAAAAAGAGATTACATCGAATAGATCTCCACAAAAGAGGGGGAGAACATTGTATTGAGATCCAAAAAGAGAGAAGAAGCCATCTAGCTAATAACTATGGACCCGTAGGTCTGTGGTAAACTACTCACAACTCATCGGAGGGGAAAGGATGTTGATGTAGAAGCCCTCCATGGTCGATTCCCCCTCCGGCAGAGTGCCGGCAAAGGCTCCAAGATGGGATC